AGTGCCTAGCTGGCTAAGTTGGTTGAGCACCCAACTCTTGATTTTGGCTCAGGTCGTGGTCTTGAGGTTCGTGGGTTCAAGCCTTGTGTCAGGCTTTGTGCTGACAGCATGTGGGGCCTGCTTGGAATTTTCTCTCTCCTCTCTCTCTAACCTCCCCAACTTATGCTTATACATGCACTTTCTCCCTTTCTCTCTCAAAATAAATAAATAAATTTGAAAAAAAAATACACTACGTAAAGCAATTATAGAAGCCTTTCTTTTAAAGATAGACTACATAAAGATTTAAAAAGTTAAGTAAAAATACAAAATATACTTCAAGAAACTTTCAAACAGTACTCTTTTAGATTCAGTATCTGAAGTGAAAGGAGGCTTGTCTTCTATTTTTATAAGTGGGCTTACACCTAAATTAGAGGACTTAATAAAAAATAAATTAATTTGAATGTGTGAGATTGCCAGTTTAGAAAATAATCTGTGGCTCAATATTTTGAGATAGCTTTAAAAACAATCTGTAAGGGCACCTGGGTGACTCAGTCAGTTGAGCATCCAACTTTTGATTTTGGCTCAGGTCATGATCTCACAGTTCCTGGAATCAAGCCCTGAGTCACTCTCCTCTCTCTTTCTCTCAAAAATAAATAAATAAACATTAAAAACAAAAAGAAATCAATACATCTATGGCTCTCAAGGTGAAATAACCCAAAACATCTCTGTTTTCTAAGATGTGGGAGCCTATAGACAAGAATATTTATAAATGTGGGGCGCCTGGGTGGCGTAGTCGGTTAAGCGTCCGACTTCAGCCAGGTCATGATCTCGCGGTCCGTGAGTTTGAGCCCCGCGTCAGGCTCTAGGCTGATGGCTCGGAGCCTGGAGCCTGTTTCCGATTCTGTGTCTCCCTCTCTCTCTCTGCCCCTCCCCCGTTCATGCTCTGTCTCTCTCTGTCCCAAAAATAAATAAAAAACGTTGAAAAAAAAATTTAAAAAAAAAAATAAAAAAATAAAAAAAAAAAGAATATTTATAAATGTAATGAGCAGAAGCGCCATTAAACAAACTATATACCACACTGGTGTGAAAACAGGACAACTGTCCACAAATCTGTCCAGTGATACAGGTAGCTGCAAGGTACACAAGAGCACTCAACAATCTCCAGTCCTTTTTCCAATTCCCAAGGGGAAAAAAACTGCTTTCCTGTTTATCACTCTATCTAACATTAGTTTCACCTCTATAGCAGAGCAAAAATTTAAAATTGTCTGAAAAGGAAAAAGAAAGACAAATGGTCTTTTCATGAGAAAATAACAAAAAAACATTTATTATTTTAGCTTGAGAGAGAAAGTGGGAGAGGGACAGAGGAAGAGAGAATCCTAAAAATGCCCCATGCTCAATGCAGAACCTGATGGCATGGTCGGGTGGGGGCGGGCTGGATCCTAGGACTCTTTATTTTAGTTTGAGAGAGAGAGCAGTGGAGAAAAGAGAGAGCAGGAAAAGAGAGAGAGAGAGAATCCTAAGAATGCCCCATGATCAGTGCAGAGCCTGATGGGGGCTGGATCCCAGGACTCTGGGATCATGACCTGAGCTGAAATAAAGAGATGGACGCTCAACCAACTAAGCCACCCAGGCACCTGAAGAAAACAATTTTCATTAACATAAAATGACAGTGCCAGATTGTTTAAAAAAAAAAAAAAAAAGATAAAGTTGAACATATACAGTAAATTATGAAAGAATTGAGGAGAGATAAACTTTATTTTCTTTGGTTTAATAGAACCACTCAAGTAGTCAAAATCTTTAACAATTCAATGTCTCAGCTATAATTGTTATTTTGAGATCATTATCAGGAGAATATTCTTTATTCTCTGTGGTACAGTATCATACAGAAAATAGTCAACATAGCAGGCCTGAACTGCTATCCTTGAAAAGGCACATTTGCAAGATTGGCTCTTAGCTGGTATCTGGGAACTTAGGTTTTGGGAAGGTTCCCAACATTAACTGATAAAGGTGGCTTACTGAATTTTTTGTATGAATAATACGCTTTTTACTGAATACTTGCTCTTCTTTTTGAGAGTGTGGAATTTGGGTATGTGCCAGGTAGAGGGTGCCTACACGATTAGCCCCCAGTAGAACCCCAGGCACTGAATCTTTAATGAACTTCCATGTTTGGCAACATGGCACATGTTTGTCACAACTCATTGCTACGAGAATTAAGCATGTCTTGTGTAACTTCACTGGGAGAGGACCCTTGGAAGCTTGCGTCCAGTTTCTCCAAGAATATGTCCTGGTGCCTTTTCTCTTTACTGATTTTGTTCTAAACAGTATATTGCCTATACTCTTTAGTCTATACTCTTTAGCCTATGAGTCATCCTAGTGAATCATTGTACCTGGAGGTGGTCTTTGGGATCTCTAATCAAAACACTTACAAACGTAATAAATAAGATTTACTTTTAGAGAAAAATATACAGCAGCTCTTATACACAATCAGATTATAGTACATCTTGATATGAGAATTCATATACTATATATAATTTAGGAAACTACCCCCCAAATAGCTATGGTTCCAGAATTCCTATGGATGAAAGACTCCACAGACTAGGCATTTTAACTTGGAGCAGAGCCTATAAGATTACAGATTGATTTTTTTCCTTGATTTATATAAATCTTCCTTTTTGTACAAGCAAGCATGTACATGTTAGGCCATGCTCTATGGATCTTAACTCATTAGAAAAACATTGCCTATAAAACCTATCCCTTAAAGAAGAGGCAAGGGGCACCTGGGTGGCTCAGTTGGTTGAGCATCCGACTTCAGCTTGGGTCATGATCTCATGGTTCAGGGGCTCAAGCCCCACGTCAGGCTTTGTGCTGACAGCTCAGAGCCTGGAGTCTGCTTTGGATTCTGTGTCTCCCTCTCTCTCTGCCCCTCTCCCACTCGTGCTCTGTCTCTCGCTGTCTTTCAAAAATAAATAAACATTAAAAAAAAAAAGTAAAATATGGAGCAGGTGGATGGAGTTGTTGGGGGAGGGCAGTAGAGAAACAAAATAAATACACCTCCTTGTCCCAGAGCAATTACAAGCTTCAACAAATACGTCAAACTAGCCTCAGATCTCATATTAGACTTTAAGTCTATGTTGCTACACATGATAAATCACTGTGGCTAGCAGAAACCACTCAATATTTTTTACTTATTAACTAATTATGAATTATCATTATTTTCTCTGTATATAACCAAATACTGTTGTAGCAACTTCATAACCCTACCCCACAGAGGAGAACCCCATACTTGTGTTTCTGTAATTCAAGATTTCCATGATCAGAACAGAACTTTTCGTTGTTGTTTGGTTGGTTTTGTTGTTGTTTTTAGCACCAAATTTATCACTTTTTAAAAATAAGATTTTTCCCAAAAGTGAAGAAAAAGAAACAAATCCAGTGTCTGCATTCCCAACTGCAGCCTTGATTCTGGAATACCTTCTTCACTCTGAGATCAAGTTGGCTCTCTGGGACTCCAATGGTGATATATGGGTTGAGGGTTCCTCTGTGATGGGTTTCTCTCTGTCCCTCTCCTGAGTTTTAGGGATGGATTTTTCATTGTGGGTGTGGTCCTCCTCACCTTCTTCCAATGCTGTGGAGAGATGGCCAAAATGGACTTGAGAGGAAGTTTGGGGATCCAGTCTTCATCTATCTCTGGGGATGACTGGTCACTGGTCAGCATGAGGGTGGCAGGGGTGGGGCAGTGCCTGAGAATCTGCTCTACCAGCTTAGGGTCAATGGGCAACTCCAGCAGCAGGACTATGAACTGGATCTTCCAGGAGTTGTTGTCTTGCACCATGGGTGGGGCTCAGAGCTGGGGCAGGTGCTCTCCCTCTTAGCTCCAGCCCAGCCCCAGCCCCTAGAACAGAACTTTCGATGCTATCCTACCAAATCTCAACTCAACATCGTTTGTTGACAGTTTTATATTAAAAATAAAAATATATATATTAGGCTTAATATATAAAATATCATCTTGTATCTCTTATAAAATCCAATTTCTTACCAAAAGACAAATTATTCAAATAACGGAACTAAGATCCTTTCTAGGGCATATTAAATTGTTAGTAAAAAAAAAGTAATTTTTTTTAAAAAGTAAGCTTAGAGAATAATTTGCTTCTTGTTAAATGCTTTTTCTGCATCTATAAAAATTATCATGTGGTTTTTATCCTCCTCTTGTTGATGTGATGTATCACGTTGATTGATTTGTTCATATTGAACCACGCTTGCATCCCAGGAGTAAATCCCACTTGATCCTGGTGAATGGTTATTTTAATGTATTGTTGGATTTGCTTTGCTAATATTTTGTTGAGGAATTTTGCATCTATGTTCATCATAGATATTGGCCTGTAGTTCTGTGTGTGTGTGTGTGTGTGTGTGTGTGTGTGTGTGTGTGTGTGTCTTTATCTGATTTTGGAATCAGGGTAATGCTGGCCTCATAGAATGAATTTGGAAGCTTTCCTTTTTCTTCTATTTTTTGGAATCATTTGAGAAGAATAGGTATTAACTCTCCTTTAATAGTTTGGTAGAGTTTACCTGTGAAACCATTTGACCTTGGACTTTTGTTTGTTGGGAGTTTCTAAATTACTGATTCAATTTCATTGCTTGTAGTTGGTCTGTTCAAATTTTCCGTTTCTTCCTGATTCAGTTTTGGGAGATTATATGTTTCTAGGAATGTATCCATTTCTTCTAGGTTGTCCAATTTGTTAGCATATAACTTTCCATAATATTCTCTTATATTCCTTTGTATTTATGTGGTGTTAGTTATTATTTCTCCTCCTTCATATCTGATTTTGTTTATTTGGGTCTTCTCTCTCTCTGTCTCTCTCTCTCTCTCTCTGTCTCTTTTATGAGCATGGCTAAAGGTCTATCAATTTTGTTGATCTTTTCTTTGCTTTTTTTTTAAACATACAGTATAAATACTTTATTAACAATTACAGATCATCCCTGTGAGCTGAATGGTTGATCCAGACATCAAGGACCTAGCCACAAGTTCAGCACAACCTCTGAACTTCTTGCTCTGACTCCAAAAGGGTGAGAATGTTGCCCTCATGCTTGGGGCCTTTCAAATTGCAGAAGATAGAGTAGCTCATGTAGTCCATGAACTCCACACGCACCTGTGTGCACTGACCCTGAGAACCGGTCCTGCCCAGCACCTTGGTGACCCTGGCCAGCTTGAAGGGCTGCACACAGCTTGTGTCCATGATGGTGGCAGGGTGGCCGTTGGGTGGAGAGCTCAATTTTGTTGATTTTTTCAAAAAAACAGCTCCTGGTTTCATTGATCTCTTCTATTGGTTTTCTTTTTTTAGTTTCTAATTCTTGTATTTTTGCTCTAATCTTTTAGATTATTTCCTAATTATTTCCTTCCTTCTACTGGTTCTGGATTATTTGTTCTTCTTTTTCTAGCCTCTTTATATGAAGGATGGGTTGTTTATTTGAGATTTTTATTGCTTTTGAGGTAGACCTGTATTGGTATAAACTTCCCTCTTGGAACTGCTTTTGCTACATCCAAAAGGTTTTAGACCTTTGTGTTTTCATTTTCTTTGGTCTCCATGTATTTTGTGATTTCCTCTTTGATTTCTTAGTTTATCCATTCATTGTTCAGTAGCATGTTGTTTAACCTCCATGCATTTGTGTTCTTTACACATTTTTTCTTATGAGTTAATTTCTAGTTTCAAAGTGTTGTGGCCAGAAAAGATGCATAGTATGACTTCAATCTCTTTGAATTTGTTGAGACTTGGTTTTGGCCTAAACATGTGATCTATTCTGGAAAATGTTCCATGTGCACTTGAAAAGAGTATATATTCTGCTGTTTTAGCATGGAATATTCTGAATATATCTGCTAGATCCATCTGGTCCCATTTGTCATTCAAGCCACTATTTCCTTGTTGATTTACTGTTTGGATGATCTTTGGGGTGTTAAAGGCCCCTATTATTTTTGTATTACTATTGATTATTTTCTTTATGTTTATTATTAGCTGCTTTATGTATTTGGGTGCTCCCATATTGGTTGCATAAATATTTACAATTGTTACATCTTTTGTTGTAATTGTTGGATTGTTGTTTTGTTGGATCATTCCCTTTATGATTATATAGTGTCCTTTTTTGTCTCTTATTACAGTCTTTGTTTTAAAGTCTATTTAGTTTGGTACAAATATTGTTACCCCAGCTTTTGTTCCACTTCCATTTGCGTGATAAATGGTTTTCCATCCTTTCACTTTTAATCTACACTTGTCTTTAGGTCTGAAATGAGTCTCTTATAGGTAGCATATAGATGGGTCTTTTTGATTGTTTTTTTTTTTTTTTTTTATCCATTCCATCACCCATTGTCTTTTGATTGGAGCTTTTAGTCCATTTACATTCAAAGTAATCGTTGATAGGTATGTAGTTGTATCATTTTGTTACTTGTTTTATGGTTGTTTTGTAGTTTTTCTGTTTTGTAGTTTTTTCTTCTCTTTGTCTCGCACAGTTTATTGGCTTTCTTCAGTCATATACTTGGATTTCTTTCTCTTTATATTTGTGCATATCTATTACTGGTTTTTGGGTTTTGGTTACCGTTAGGTTTATATATGATATGTTATGCATATAACACATAGCAACTTAATCTATATTAAGTTGATGGTTGCTCATGTCCGAAACCAATCTTTACTCCTCTCCTTGCCACATTTTAGGTATATGGTGTCATATTTTACATCCTTTTATCTTGTAAGTCTCTTGACTCATTTTTAGAGATATACTTAATCTAACTGTTTTTGTGCTTCCCACTTTTCTCACTCCTACTTTTGGTCTTTCTTTTGCACTTGAAGAGTCCCCTTTAACATTTCTTGTAGGGCTGCTATACTGGTCATGATTTCCTTTAACTTTTGTTCATCTGGGAAACTCTTTATCTCTCCTTCTTTTCTGAATGGTTTCCTTGCTGGATAGAGCATTGTTGGCTGCAGGTGTTATTCTTTCAGCACTTTTAATATGCTGGCCTGCAAAGTTTCTGCTGAAAAATCAGCTTAAAGCCTTATGTGGTTTCACTCATAAGTAACTGTTTTCTTTTCTCTTGCTGCTGTTAAAATTCTCTCATCATCACTACTTTTTGCTATTTTAACTACTGTGTGTCTTGTTATGGACCTCCTTGGGTTGGGAAGTTTTCAGCTATTATTTCTTCAACTAAATTTGCTGTACCCTTTTTTCTCCTTCTTTCTTCTGGGATCCCTGTAATGTGAATGTTATTATGCTTGATGGTCACTGAAGTTCCTTAGTCTATTTCCCTTCTGTTCATCTTGATTGATTTCCACTACTCTTTCAGGTCACTGATCTGTTCTTCTGCTTCCTCTAATCTGCTATTTATTCCATCCAGTGTATTTTTGAGTTAAGAGTTCTTCATCTTTGATTTTTTGTTTGCTTATTTTCTATGTCTTGTTCAGGGTCTTTTCTCAAGTCCAGTGAGTATCTTTATGATCATTACTTTAATTCTCTATCAGTCACATTACTTATCTTCTGTGCCATTTAGGCCTCTTGTTGTGCTTGTCCTCTTCTTTCATTTGGGACATAGTCCTCTGTCTCCTCATTTTATCTAAATCTCTGTGTTTCTATGTGTTAGGAAAGTCAGCTACATCTCCTGCTCTTGAAAGTACTGGACTTATTAAGAAAGAGGTCCTGTAGTGGCTCTCTTTGCCTATTGTGGGCAAGGTTTGTTCCCTATGTTTTTAGTGGGCCATTCTGGGGCCACCTTGGGCTGAAGCTGAGTCAGACTAAGCATTTGCCAGAGATGTGGTAGCACTGGACTTAAGTTCAATGAGAGTGCAGGATGTGTGGTGTCAGCACCATAGGTTCTAGTGGGAGGGAACCTGCAGCTGCCAGGGATAGAGGTAGACCAGGTTGGAGGGGGTGGGTCCATAGGAAAATGCAGGATGTAGGGCTCACTGTTAGTAAGTTAGGTAGGGAGTGTTGGAACCAGATTGGTTCCTGCAGGTATCCATGTGTTTATGGGGGGGAGGGGAGGGGAGGGGGAAGGAGGGAGGCAGAGAAGGTAAATGGCACCTGCCAGCTTCTTTGTTTCTGGAGAAGTTTTCCAATGATCCCTGTCCATCTAGCACGGGCTCTGAGATCAGACAATACATCTTCTTCATGTATACCCCAGGCATTTTTCAAAGTGCTGCTTCCATGCTGTATCTCCATGGACTGGTTGTTGTGCTCTCTCTGTAAGAGCAAAGACTCAGCTTCCTTTCATACTGCTGGCTCTCCCATGCACCCAGTGATTTAAAACAAAAAATTTTTAATGTTTATTTATTTATTTTGAGAGAGAACATGAGTGGGGAGGGGCAGAGGGAGAGGGAGAGAGAGAATCCCAAGCAGCCTCTGTGTTGTCAGCGCTGAGCCTGATGCAGGCCTGATTTCACAATTGAGTGAGATCATGACCTGAACCAAAATCAACAGTCAGACACTTAACTGACTCAGCCACCCAGGTGCCCTGCAGTGATTTTTAAAGTTCCAGGTTTTAAACCTTGCTGATTGTAAGAACTTGAAAAATTCAGTCCCTCTGGTTTTCAAAGCCAAATGTTATGGAGATTCATGTTCCCTGTGTGGGCTCCCTGGTGTTAGAGTCTGTTTCCTTCCCTCTCTGCACCACGGCTCACTCTCCCCCACAGACAGTCCCACAGGTCTGTTTAGCTCCCCACCCTTTCTCTGCCCTTCCTGCCCTCTTCAATGTGGCTTCTTCTCTACATTTAGCTAGGGATTGTCTATTTTACTAGTCTTTGGGTTGTTTTCTTTATAATTTTTTAAAAATACTTATTTTTGAGAGACAGAGAGACAGAGCACAGGTTGGGGAGGAACACAGAGAGAGGGAGATACAGAATCTAAAGCAGTCTCTAGGTTCTGGGCTGTCAGCACAGAGCCAAACATGGGGCTTGAGCCCATGAACCATGAGATCATGACCTAAGCTGAAGTCGGATTCTTAACCGACTATGTCCCTGGGTTGTTTTCTAGGTTATTTACACTGATGTGTTATCTAGTTGTATCCACAGTATGAAGTGAGCTTAAGGTCTTCCTACTCCTCCATCTTCCTAGGAAGTCCCCATAATAACTTTTTTCTTTTTAGGAGAAAGAGAGAGAGTGTGAGCAGGGGAAGGGGGCAGAGGAAGAGAGAGAGAGAAAGAGAGAGAGAGAGAGAGAGAGAGAGAGAGAATCTTAAGCAGGCTCCATACTCAGCGCAGAGCCCAACACAGGGCTCAATCCGACGACCCTGGGATCATGACCTGAGCCAAAATCAAGAATTTGATTTAGATGCTCAACAAATTGAGCCACCCAGGCGGGTCCCCCATGATAACTCTTGAAGATAGAAAATGTGCCAGTGTTCTATTTATTGCTTCTCAGCTCCAAATACTATCTTATTTGCCTCTGAAAATGAGTCCTTTAAAATGTATCCTTTGGGGTGCCTGGGTGGCTCAGTTGGTTAAGCAGCCGACTTCAGCTCAGGTCATGATCTCACAGTCCGTGAGTTCAAGCCCCGCATCAGGCTCTGTGCTGACAGCTCAGAGCCTGGAGCCTGTTTCAGATTCTGTGTCTCCCTCTCTCTGACCCTCCCCTGTTCATTCTCTGTCTCTCCCTGTCTCAAAAATAAATAAAACGTTAAAAAAATTTTTTTAAATAAAAAATAAAAAAATAAAATGTATTCTTTATGTGTAGTACAGATTATTAAGCTATGTCAGTAGAGGGCACTGGAGAGATGGAAGGAAGGAGCTTTCCATTCTGGTTGCAGTGTGCTTGCTCAGCAAGTTTCTGCATTGCACAAGGCTTCTTCAGCATCCAGCTTCTACAACGGGTCAGCAGCTCCAGCTTTTCCTGGCAACCACCTCAGATGATTTTGCCATGGAGGGTCTTCCACAAAACACCTCTTTTTGAACAGGTTCCCTAGGCAGGGTGCTTTCTAGCAAGTTCCACCAACACTACACCACAGTGACTTCTCTGACACCCAGGAACCATAGAATTCATTCTCTCCAGCAAGGTCTGGTTTTCTGGGGGGCTTTTCCTCAGGTCCTCTATCTCAGTCATAGGGATTGTGACAGCTCCATTTATCTGCTTATATCTCCTTGTATATTTAGTTTCCACTGGTCAATCACTTGTTGTTCCACTCCCGTGTTGTGGTTAATAATTCTTTGTTATGGGTCTTTATATATGTTTTTAAAAAAAATATTTTTTGAGAGAGAGAGAG